CACTCTGCAGGTCGAGGGTGGAGAACCATGACGTCACGGCTAATGTGTCCAATGTGTCGTCGATTCTTGGGAGCGGATAGCTGTCTTTCTTGGTGACATCATTCAACTTTCTGTAGTCCACACAAAATCGGGTGCTTCCGTCTTTCTTCTTGACCAAGACCACTGGGGAGCACCATGGACTTGACGATGGTTCTATTACACCACTCTTTTCCATTTCACTTATCAGCTTCTGAACCTCGTCTCTTTTTGCCAGGGGAACACTTCTTGGAGGCTGTTTAATGGGTCTCGCGTCTGCTGTATTGATTTCATGCTTCACCACTGATGTTCTTCCTTGGTGCTCTTTTGTCAACGCAAAGGTAGAGGCATATTTCCATAATAGCTGCTTAGCCTTGTTCCTCTCGGAAGGTGATAATTGGTGTGTCCACTCTTTTATGTAGCCGTCGAGGTGCTTCTTCTCCATGGCAGCTGGCTTTTCGGTGCTAGTTTCCAAATTAACTACAGCTTCAGCTGGTGTGCATTGTCCAACATCGGAAAATTGGCAAATTTGCTCTTGCTTGTTTGACAGGTTCAAAACTCTAACAGGAATTAATCCGTCCTTGTTGCTTTTCACTAGGGCATTCGCTATTAGGATGCTACTGTTTCTGTTTTCTGCTGGTTCCACCACCCACAACTTCTCGGCTCCACAATCTCCATTCATTGGTACCCATATTATTGCTTCGGCACAGGGCGGTATTATCTCTGGATGGTCCGTGGTCAGACGTCTAATGGGTGTACTTACATCGTAGCCCACGTTTAACGGAATTTCGACGTTAGACCAGGTCATCACACGTTCTTTCATATCCAGATTGATACCAAAGGCAATCATAAAATCTGCGCCTATTATCACTTCGTCTACGATATCGGCAACTATAAACTCGTAATTCTCCGATTTATTGGCAATAGTTAGTCTCAGGGTAATCTTGCCGTGTACTGCCGCGGGCTCCCCCGTTGCTGTGCGCAGTCTGACTCCATTAAGTTGCGTTATTTTTCCCTTTACCAGATCTGATCTTACGATGGACTTTGATGCGCCAGTATCTAACGTCAGAACTCGCTTATCACCATTGATGTACCCAGTTGTTGTTAGGTTGTGACTTTCCTGTTGTACTATTGCTATGGAGATTGTGGGGCCATCGTCGATGGGAGCCAGTTCATGCCCCGCTGGACTGGCTCGATTTAGTTTAACTGTGACTCATTGGTGGACTGTTGGGCCATTCTTCTACCATCTTTCGTTGGAGGTGGTGACGATGACCTGGATCGTTTGCGCTTAGCTCTGCATTCGCGCGCAATATGACCTGCTTTATCGCAGTTGTAGCATCTAACCCTGGGCTTAGTCATCCCAACTAACTTTGTCTCTTCTATTACCCGCCTCATGGCGTCTTCGATCGAGTTAACGAGAGATTTGGGTTCGCAACCTTCGGTCTCCAGTTGGCGAATCTTGTGGGTCTGGGGCTTAACAACTATTCTTGCCGTCTCTTGGGCAAGGGCAAACGACACAGTTTCGGAAAATGATGCTTTTGGTGACGCATATGTTGCATACTTAATCTCAGGGTCACGTATGCCATTCACAAAGGTTTCGATTTTCATACGGTCAAGCAATGGGTGATCCTCTCCTGGATACGTCATTAGCACCAAACGTTCCACCTCAGCTGCAAAGTCTTGTAACGTCTCGTTTGCCCTCTGTACTCTTCCCCTTAATTCCATAAGGTAGATGTTTCGTTTATGTTCGCCACCGTACTTACGTTCCAGTGCAGCAATAACATCTTCATAGTTGTTTCTAGAAGCGACAGGAATACTCTGTATAACATCAGCAGCACTGCCCTTCAATGCCAGAAGTAGTGCAACCGCTTTGTCGCTGTCGTTCCACGAATTTCTAGAAGCCACTGTCTCGAACTGTAACTTGAAAACATTGAATGACGTAGAGCCGTCGAATACAGGAGGTTTGATTTTTAGTGTGTTATCAGGAACTCGCACCGGACCACCTTTGATTTCCAGTTCCGAAATTTTCTTCTCCAGATTTGTAACCCTATGGTCGTGGGACAGAAATTTCTCGTCAACCGACTGCACTTTCTTATCCAACTCTTTAATTTGGACCTCCACGGTTTCCATTCTCCTTCCAATAACTTCTGTAATGTACTCGAGTTTCTCGTTCATTATTCTCGAATTTTCTTCGACTCTTCTGAAATTTTCCTCAAACATTTTGGCTAGCATTTCTCTGAAATCGTCACCCCTGGCAGCTACTGACGAGACTTCCCCACCGTTGGATTCGCCCATTTCCGATAAATCCACTTCATCCTTACTGTCAAACTCATATGTATCGATGTTCATACCACGGCGCTCGAACTCATCCAACAGACGTTTTTGTAGTTCAGCCTTGTTGCCAGTAGAGGACAATTCCAATTTATTAAGTTCCTTCTTCAAGTCTTCCACTCGTAGATCCTTAAACTTCATCGTAGTATTATCGTAATCTCACTTCCGACACCAATTGTTACGTTCTTGGATTTTACTTAATCCCGTGTAGACGTTGTTTTATTTCCCAATACAGCTCGTACCAAATAAAACGCGGGTTCTTTTGGATTACGATTATTACAATGATTTTATTCACACAACTTTACTTTGCACTTTACTTTACTCGACGGTTTCAATTCGCGATCTGATTCACAACTGACTAACTGCCTTTCCATTTCCCCTATTTATATGAGCCTCGCCTGTCGCTACAGAAGTTTCTAGACGATCTGGTAACGCCTAGATTACGAACAATCTACCAATGCAACGAACACATACAAACTTACATTGAGTGAACAATAACAACAACACATACAAACTTACATTGAGTGAACAATAACAACAACACATACACAGGCGAGGGGGTAACAAAGAAAGAGGAATTAAGCGATCATCAATGATGTCGTTTAACAAGAACTGTACGTCAGCAACAAAATAGAAAATGAAAGAGGAAATGGAAGGATGTAGAAAAATCTATACAGTAGTTGTTGTTGTGAAGTTATTCAAATAAACTGCGTAGTAGAAATTTACGTTACAATTCAAATTCTTAAATTAACGGAATTCATCTAAATTAACTTAAATCTAAAGTTATATTCGTAACAATACAAATTATTTTTAAAAGAGAGTCTTAAAATTCCAGCTTTCCACAAACCGACGGACAGGAGTTCCAATTTTCCATAAACTCTTCTCAATTTAACAATTAAGGGGTTAGCTTCCATAATTTGGAAACTCTTTTCCACATTTTCCAACTATTTATTGAAAGAAATATAGATATTTGTGTGTATGTGTAAATAAGGACGTATTTTTGTATTCCCCAGGTCTAAATTAAGGGTCAAAATCAGTCCAAGATCCCAAATAACGCTGAGTTTGGGTCAATTGTGTCAAATTGTATGTAGAAAAGAGCGCTTCTATCATCTAAAGGCACAGCTGCACTCCTTTCTCGATTCCACGCTTAAAGCACAAAACAATCTCATTCGTACTCACTTTGCCTCTCTTTGTATAGTTGGGAATGTGTTGATGTATGTGTGTTTACCCTGTGCGTTCTTGTTTTTCTTTCTGTTGGCGTCTGGGTTGTTTTGTTGTTTGAATTCAGGTTAGTTACACCCGAACCGCTGTGCTTGTATAATTTTCGATTTGCTTGTTGCTTTTATTCTGTAAAAATTGTTATTCACTCTTGTTATTATTATTTATTTATTATTTTTTTTTTTTTTGTTTTCGAAATTATACCTATTAATAAATTTTATATATTTTTGTTTTGACCCACTGTGGTTTATTTTTTGTCTCTTTAATTTTTCCAGTGGTCTCTCACTACTGTATCTTGTTGTTTTATCACTATTTGCATACACTGATCACTGTTCTGCATTCGTATGTATGTGTGTGTGTTTAGTCGGTGTCTACTGTCTTGTTGAAACACTTATAATTTTTTTGTTCTTTTTTGAATGTCTCTTTTTTATTCAACTTTGTTTTTAGTTATAACACTTTTGTTGAAATGTATTTTAATTTTTGGTTTTCTTGTTCACTGTTTGCCTTGTTTTCTTTCTGTAGTTCAATTTGTATATGTTCGTAGCGTATTTTATCTCACTTTTATAATATTGTTAAATTGTATTTTAATTCCACTTCACTTTGCACTTTTTTTTAAATTTATTAAAAAAAAACATACAATCTGGCTTGTCAAGAACCAAATGTTTTTATCTTTACCTTTTACTTCCCTTTTTTAATTTGTTAAATATTTGAATGTGTGTTTTAATTCAATGTGTTATTATATTTGTAATTTAAATCTTTGTTGTTTGTGTGTATGTACAATTGTTTGATTTTTGTATAGTAGAATTTTGTTGTCTAATTTTGTACAATTTTATGTAACTCAATTTGTTTAGTTTTATACAATGTTAATTTTGTGTATGTAAATTTCAATACTTTTTATGTAATTTAAAAAAAACTGTACTTATGTTCCGAACTGAACAGGAATATTCTGACTACCAAAGCTTTTTAATCTTCCAGTATTTATTGGAAAAGTGTTTGGCTAGCGGCAGCACGTATGGATGTATTAGTTAATATGCACTAATATACATATTGTGTACCGCTAGCCACAAATTTAAAATTCTTACATATAGTGGCTTTCATAACTATGGTCCATGGTAAAAGATTACAGGTAGTCGCATCGACACAGCTGCTGGGACAATGAAATGTCAATTCAATTTTGGAATTGAACATTTTGAATGAAAAATTATTTAAATTTGAAAAAAAAATTGAAAAACGCGTATTAAAATAACCTCCAAATGACGTCGTATAACAAAACATACAAAAATCTACTTATATTTGAAAAAACATTTAAAATTTTTTGACATATCAATGCTCCCAAGCGTTGATGCATCTCCCTGTATTCTTTTGCCATGTATCTAAGCATATACTTTAAATGACGAATAGTAACGTGTAAACGGTTGGATTCGTGTACGATAATCTGAGAGCGACAAAGCTACGCAAAAAACCAATGGAAACATGCTATACCCAACCAAAATAATATATCGATGCTATCGATGGGCGCAATTGTTTTTCAACATAACTTGTACCTGGCTGCTGCTTCATCCTAATCGTTGGCGTTGTAATTAATTCAACATGGTAAAATATATTTAATAATTATGTTTTATGTATATTAATATCATACTTTTCTAGACTATTGGCAAAAACAATAAAATGATACAGCATCTCAATTATAGAGTGCGAGTGGTTTTACAGGATTCGCGCACTTTTATTGGCACATTCAAAGCCTTTGACAAACATATGAATTTAATACTTGGTGATTGTGAAGAGTTTAGGAAAATACGGTCAAAGAACACAAAAGTTCCCGAACGAGAGGAAAAAAGAATCCTTGGATTTGTGTTACTTCGAGGAGAAAACATAGTATCATTAACAGTAGAAGGCCCTCCCCCTCCAGAAGAAGGACTTCCTCGTGTACCAATACCGGGCGCACTTTCTGGTCCTGGTATAGGCAGAGCCGTAGGCAGAGGCGTTCCAGTTAGTATGTCAACTGTTCCAGCTGGACTTCAAGGACCTGTACGTGGTATTGGGGGACCTGGGCAGCAACATATGACTCCAGTTGGTCGTGGTGTTCCTCGAGCTCCAATTATTGGAGGACCTCCACCAAACATTATTCCAGGTAACATCCCTCCTATGGGCGGAACAATCGGACGTGGGGCACCTCCACCAATGAGAGGTCCTCCCCCTGGCATTCTTCGTGGTGCTCCTCCACCAGGTCGTGGGGGGTATTAAAAAAATAAAACAATGTATATGTTTCTATTACGTTAAACTTAAACGAATGAAAACGATGTTCGCAATCTTAGATCTATATGATGCTAATAAACAAAAAATTGCATACAAATCCAAGCACACTATTTTGTACATAAGATGGGAAGAAGACTACTGTTGACAATAAAACACTTGTGATTTGACTTTCTCTACGTTTCGAAAAAACTTCGTAGCTAGATGGCCCTGGTCCACTTATTTGCTTACGTTGAGATTAATCCATAAGCTCAAATCTCCCTGAAATGTTTATCATAAGCATTCGTCTTAACTTATTTAAAAAAAAAAGAATAGCTTTTGAACAGAACTTGAACTGTATGCCTAAAAGAGAAAACTAAAAATGTTTTGAAGATGTTTAAATTTCACAAATGTAGTTTTTTAATATGATTCCTCTGAATATATACAGGCATGTCCCAGAAAATAATTTATGTATAATTTAATTTGGTGTGTAGCTTCTTCAGAAAAAAAAAAATGATGCTATATCTCCAGTTCCAAGTGGAACTTAAAAAAATATTGCCTATGTTACTTTCAACCGATGTTGTAGTATACTTAGAAATCTGTGCAGCGGTTTTGGAGTCCATAAATTACAAACTTTACAAACATTTTCCTCTTTTATGGATAAAGATTTTCTTTCAGGGGGCGAAGAACTCCTTTTATGGAATTTCCGAAAATTCCATTGAAAAATGTGGCTAAAATCTTAAAAATATCGAATATCGGGGAGTACCGTTGTTCAGGGCTACACGATATCGTGGACTGCTATAGCCCGTCTTCGAACTTGACCTGCCGCAGATACAAGACTAATCGGTGCAAAATTTTAGTTTCCTATCTTAGTTCGTTTTGACTTTAGAGTTATTATATTATAACAGATGGTCGGACGGGCAGAGCCATGGTAGAATTACAAGGTATCAATTTGATATGTCAAAAAATGTTGTAATTTGAATTCGCCTTCATTTACACATAAGAAAATTGTTGCATGATTTCAAACTTTAACAATGCTATTAATAGAAAATAGAGATTGCTATTGATAGAAATATACATAAAAGACTTCCTGTCTGCTACACATTTCATAGCTAAGCAAATAATATGCGTGGACTCACAGTAGACACAGCCCCCTGTATCTTCTGCAATCTTTGATCCAAATCTTAAGTAAGCCTGAGGAGTAAATATACCCTAAAGTACCTTTTAGGTAGCATGTCACTACAGCGAGAAAGCTGACGATGTAGCAAAAGAAAAAAGGGTACACCCCAGAACCACCACAAAACCTAATTTTAAAGCATCAAAACTAATTTTCCGGATATTTTCTTGTAAAGAACATTATCGCTGTTGAATATGAAATCAACGTTACCAACGTTACCAAAACTGCATGCTGTTTCGTTGGCGCGCTGGAGACTACGACCATTCCATTTCCAGTCTCTGTGATTTTCAAAAATGTTGTATTAAATGTGCGATAATCAAACCAAGATGCAGCGGCTTCAGCATTACTTTCAATCGATGTTGGAAGTTTTGAATATTTGCTATTGTAATAGAAAAAACAACAATTTTGAAAATTTTTAAATCAATATTTTGATTGGAAAAATAATTTGCCCCAAATTTTGTACTTCAATTCAATTCGCCCTGACTACAACTTTGACATATCAAGTTTCCAAAAAAGTTGCTTTGTTGTAATTTTCGCCTATGTTGCTACCTGGTATTTCTACCATGGGCAGAGCTAAATGGTCTTATAATTTTACGCCGATCAAAAATAAAATTATTATTTCGTTGAGAGACAAACGGAATGACGAACTTAACGTACCCTCCATACCATGGCAGAAGAATACAGGTAGATGCATCAACGATTAGGAGCATTGATATGTCAAAAAAATTTTAGTGTTTTTTCAAATATAAGTAGATTTTTATATGTTTTCTTACACTACGTCATTCGGAGGCTATTATAATTCGCGTTTTTCAACATTTTTCACAAATTTAAATAGTTTTTCTTTCATCATTGTCAATTCCAAAATTGGTTTGACAGTTCATTGTCCCAGCAGCTGTGTCGGCGCGTCTACCTATATTCTTCTACCATGCTCCATACTATGTACCATGGCAGAAGAATACAGGTAGATGCATTAACGCTTGGGAGCGTTGATATGTCTAAAAAATTTTTTTTTTTTTTTCAAATATAAGTAGATTTTTACATTTTTTCTTATACGACGTCATTCGGAGGTAATTATAATTCGCGTTTTTCCACAATTTTGACAAATTTTGAATAATTTTTCATTCAACATTTTCAATTTCAAAATTGGTTTGACAGTTCATTGTCCCAGCAGCTGTGTCGATGCGTCTACCTATATTCTTTTACCATGCTATGTATGGTGGAGGGTATAAAAATGTTCTTTTAATAGCAAATACAGAACTAATTTTACATTTTTTCTTTTCATTTAATGTTAAGTTCGTATGGCACGTGATTCGCTCTCTATTCGTTGTTCGGCCATTAATTATGAAATATCTACTTGATTGCCCACACAAAAAATTTAACTATCAGAACTACGATGAAATGTGTGCCATCCCTGACAAATGAGAGCATTTATCGTAAAAAGTAAATTATGACATTTAAAAATAGAAAAATTTAATAATAATTTAATAAAACTTTAAAATTTTTCAGGAAGACTGGAAATTATGATGAAAGATATAATGTAAAGTAAATTTTGTTTTCTCTCTTATCCGAGGTACACTTTTTGTCCACTAGTTGTAATTTCTAAAGAAAAATGGAAACAAAAGAATTTATATCGAAAAAAAAAATACAAGTGACTCTCTAACTGAATTTGAAAACAGCAAAGTACAAAAATATATTTAAATTGTCAGCATTTATCATGGTAGAAGAATATAGGTAGAGGCATCGAGACAGCTGCTGGGACAATGAACTGTCAAACCAATTTTAGAATTGAAAATGTTGAATGAAAAATTATTTAAATTTGCAAAAATTAATGAAAAACTCGTATTGTAACAATCTCCAAATGGCGTCTTATAAGAAAACATACAAAAATAAGCTTATATTTGAAAAGACATTTAAAATTTTTTGACATACCAATCGGCCCAATTACGATTGTCGTTACTATGGTCGTCGTCGACTTTATGTGAGAGTCGCCCTCGCCGTCGCTTCGATTCAAAAATGGTATTATGGTAAGGCATAGAAGCGACATCGACATTTTAAAATAAAAGTTGGCAACAATTAAAAAACGTTGGCAACACTCGCTTGTTATTGACAAAAAAATATATTTTTTTGGTATTTTGAATTCTAATTTCGACTCTTTCGGAAAAATAAAAAATATAGTGAAAAAATTAAGATTAAGTTCAAGTGAGGATGAAGAGAAAAATGTATTAGTAGTGCAGCGGCGAGTTTAAGGCAGCCAACAAACATATTTGCAATGCCTGGCTCTTGATTGTTTTGTTACAAAAGTGTTCAATAGTTTTTTTCCATTGTTTCTTGATCGAGAAGCTTCAGTAGTAGGTTACATCAGTCTCGTCATCAGCATTGTCCACTTGCTCATTTTCATGAACTATAACGTCTATTACACTTATGTTTTCCTTATTTTCTATTCCAAGTGCACGACCTGGTGCACCTGAAAATGCATTATATTCGCGAAAGACTCCTCCAAAGTCATTTGCTTAAAAATGCCACATCCATTGCTGCTGGTTTCACCCTTGTTGTGCACAAGTTTTTTTTGGTTTAAAATTTTAAGTCTTTCCAAACCTAGAAGAATTTTAGAAAACTAAGTAATAAAAACATACAAAAATAATTTTCATTTTTACATACTTTTTGCCAGAAATTAAAATTTCAAGTTGTTTTGCTGTTGTTATTTTCGTGGTCAAATATAAAATACAAAATGCTTACAATAGTTGTGTTCCAGAACCTACAAATTAGTACTAATTAGTACTAATTCTGCTACAACGCGTTCCCGTACTGCAAAAACTAGCAAAACTTGCAGCTCTCTCGAGAAAAAATGGCGCTGAGTGGTGCACATTTCTGCTTGTTTTAGCTACATGAATTTGGCCGAGCAGAAATGTGCAAATTGTGAATTTGACATTTAATTGGCAGGGCTAACAAGGTTGAAAAATGTATTGATACATTTCAATGTTCCCGCGTCATAACAAAAATAAAGAAATGATCAACTTAAAAACTAATATTTGTAGTGCAAAAAAAAAAAAGAGAAAAATATGGAGCAACTGATGTATTCACTTTTGGATGATTCCAGTAGTGAAGAGGACTGGCTGAATGATGAATCAGATTATTAATTATTATTATAGATTATTAATTTTAACGTATCGTCTTCAATACTATTTTTTTTAAATTTTGGCGTTCGTTTCAGTAAGGTTTCACCAGTCCGATTTGGACTGTTTACTCTTGGAATTTTGAATTTTGACATTTTATAGCATTTCTGCTAATATTTCGTTCCCTTATTTTTTGAGCACACCTAATTGAGAATGACACTTCGAACTGTTCTCTCTTCTGCTAGTTTTACTACTAAAAAAAGTACTGGAACACAACTAATATCAACGTCGACTAAAAAGTACTATGTCGTCACAATTTTTTACGGCGACAGCTATTCTAAAAAATCGACTTCACGTCGACTATTGTACCGACAATGATAATGGCAACCATTTGTCGCTATCGACAAAAAACGACAACCATAATATTATTGTCGCCTCGACTTCATTTTAAGACGCCGACGATAACCGTAATAGGGCCAAATGTTCCCAAGCGTTGATGCATCTACCTGTATTCTTTTCTACCATACAAAAAGTTCTTAACATGAATGAAAATTGTTAAATGAAAGATACAATAAATCTTTGGAGGAAAAACAATAATTTTTCTCATTATTATTAATGCTAATTTCATGTACTTACGTACAAATTCCTATAAAAATCAACAAACAAAAAATTTGAAAAAAGAAATTATGCTACTATCAGACATGTCACAAGAATGAGTTCCGTACGAAAGTGGTTTTAATTTCATATTTAGCTTCTTCAGAAAATGTAAATCGCAACATTTTTTCGTTTTGAAACCACTTGTTTTTGCAAGTGAAATTGTATTTTTATGGAAATTTGTGACTTTGAAACACTCTCAAAAGTTATTTAAGTAATAAAGATGTTGTCTCAATGACCCTATTACGGTTATCGTCGGCGTCGCAAAATGAAGTCGAGGCGACAATAATGATATTAGGGTTGTCGTTTTTTGTCGATAGCGACAAATGGTTGCCATTATCATTGTCGATACAACAGTCGACGTGAAGTCGATTTTTAAGAATATCTGTCGCCGTAAAAAATTGTGACGACATAGTATTTTTTAGTCGACATTGATATTGTAATATTTGGCAAAAGGTTTACCAAAGGTCATGTTCCAGCTAATTTTAAATCAGATTGGGAATCCATTGCTACAAAACTAAATGTAAACGGGCCTCCGATTAGAGACTCCCATGGCTGGCAAAAAATATGTAAAAATTAAAATTATTTTTGTATGTTTTTATTAGTTGGTTTTCTAAAATTCTTCTAGGTTTGGAAAGATCTAAAATTTAAAACTAAAAAGAAACTAGTGCACAACAAGGGTGAAACCAGCAGCACTGGAGGTGACATTTTTAAGCAAATGACTTTGTCGCCTTTGGAGGAGTCTGTCGCGAATATAATGCAGTTTCAAAAGTTACTGAATACATCAGGTTGTGCACTTGGAATAGAAAATAAGGAAAACATAAACATAACCTAATAGACGTTATAGTTCATGAAAATGAGCAAGTGGACAATGCTGATGATGAGACTGATGTAACCTACTATTAAAGCCCAGAAAAAAAATGGTAAAAAATCATGAAGGAAAGTAGAAACTATATAACTCTTGAAAGAGCGACATAAACTTTTGGAACAACACAATCAAGAGCCAGGCAATGTAAATATGTTTGTTGGCTGCCTTAACACTCGCCGCTGCACTACTAATACATTCTTCTCTTCATCCTCACCTGAACTTAAGATATGTAACGCATTTATAGTCTTCATTTTCACTATATTTTTTATTTTTCCGAAAGAGTCGAAATTAGAATTCAAAATATAAAAAAATATATCTTTTTTTGTCAATAACAAGGGAGTGTTGCAAACGTTTTTTTTTTTTAAATTGTTGCCAACTTTTATTTTAAACTGTCGATGTCGCTTCTATGCCTTACCATAATACCATTATTGAATCGAAGCGAAGACGAGGGCGACTTGCACATAAAGTCGACGACGACTATAGTCACGACAACTGTAATTGGGCCGAATTAAATTTACATTCGACCTAATTACGGTTGTCGTTACTAAAGTCGTAGTTGACTTTATGTGCAAGTCGCCCTCGCCGTCGCTTCGATTCAAAAATGGTATTACAGCAAGGCATAGAAGTTCAAAATAAAAGTTGGCAACACTCTCTTGTTATTGACAAAAAAAAATATTTTTTTTTTGTATTTTGAATTGTAATTTCGAATCTTTGGAAAAAATAACAAGTAAAAAAGCAGTAAGTTCGGCCGGGCTGAACTTTGAATACCCTCCATCATTTGGAACAAATTTGGAAATTTTCGAAAAAGATAACATTCGCCAAAAATTCTTTTAACGTCTTAAAAATACAGAATATAGCCGTTATATTTGGGCCTGTACGACGTGCATCTACACAGGCATTTTTTTGTCATTAGCCATTACCATATTCAAATTCGAAACTTCAAATAAACGCTGAATAATGTAGCTTAAATCATCAAATTCCGTATATAGGGAGGTACCGTTATATCGGAGCTATACGAAGACCTGGACCTGTATAGACAATTTTGTGTCACAGGCTGTAGCTTCCATTACTAACTTCAAATACGACATCTCCAACAATTTCGGTGAGTATTGTACCTAAAATCGCCAAAATACCGAATATAGGGAGGTACTGATCTATGGGGCCCATTTTCTGCCTTTGGCTGTAGTACACACAATACACATTTTGAATTTGAATACTATCCAGAGTGTTGATGATGACAAATATATAATCAAATATAAATTTTCATTATTTTTATTCAAAATAATAAGCAAATTTTAATGGTTTCTCAATTGACCAAGGCAATAGTTAACAAAGTGTTGCCACATCACTTTTTTCATGAAAATAACTTTTTATTATTTAATTATTCATTGTGAAAACCAAACAATGTGATATTACAAAAAAAATTTGTACAAAAATGCAAGTATTTTAAAATGTGTGAAATATGTATTGTGGAATGCCATTTAATCAATTAATCATTAATTAATATTTTAGGGGCTGGCACAGGAATTCGGTCCGAAGCATCTCTTAAATTCCTCTGGCGTATTTTTTCAGTATTGTGTTTATTACTTTGCGCTTCCCGGCATTGCGTAAAAAATAATGAAATAAACTTGGTTTTTGCACAAAATATTTTTCATAAGTTACACTTCTACAGTGTTTTCTAATCATGAGTGTTCTTTTGATTCCTCATTCATTCGTTCTTTCATTCCCCTAATGTTACCATATTAAATTTATAATGTTGCCATATTTACAATGAATTTGTAGTTCACCAAAAGGTTTAAAATCAGAGGAAGCTAAAACAAAAACGTATGATCTTGAATTGCGAAATTCAAACCATTTCGGAACGACTTTGTGACATGTTTGTATGAATTACATATTGTGCCGTATGAACGTATGAATCGCATGGTAGAAGAATACAGGTAGTCGCATCGACACAGCTGCTGGGACAATGAACTGTCAAACCGATTTTGGAATTGAAAATGTTGAATGAAAAATTATTGAAATTTGTAAAAATTGTTGAAAAATTCATAATATAACAACCACCGAATTGCGTCGTATAAAAAACATTTAAAAATATTCTAATTTTTGATAAAACATTCTAAAAATTTTGACATATTAATGTTCCCAAGCGTTGATGCATCTAACTATATTCTTCTACCATGTATGAATCGTATACCTAATTCTGAGAGCGAATAACGTGATTGAAGGTGTCATGGGAACATAACATAAAACAATTACCAAATTTGTTTTTTTTTTCTCAATTGACAAAGCCAATAATTAACAATGTGTTGTTACATAATGTTTTTCTTGAAAAACATTTTCTATAAAAAAAAACTATTTGTGAAAACATAACATTCTGGACATACGCATGATTAATTGAAGCAAAGATAAAAAACATAAAAAAATGAAATATATACATTTTCTCCAAAAATGTGAGCACTTTGAAATGTTAATTAACATTTTAATTATTTAGGGACAAGCGCAGGAATGTACTTATTTTGGATAGAAAAATGTTCGGAGCATTTGTTCAGATCATTTTCAATTTTTAATAAATAAAGAGATGCCAGAGCCCATGGTAGAAGAATATAGGTAGACGCATCGACACAGCTGCTAGGACAATGAAATGTCAAACCAATTTTGGAATTGAAAATGTTGAATGAAAAATTATTTAAATTTTTAAAAATTGCTAAAAAAAACTCGAATTATAATAACCTCCGAATGACGTCGAATAAGAAAATATTTAAAAATCTACTCATATTTGAAAAAAACATTTAAATTTTTTTGACATATCAATGCTCCCAAGCGCTGTATTCTTCTGCCATGCCAGAGCCGCACTCAAATCCAGCCACCGTTTTCCCTATAGTGTGGTATTAATATTCCTAGCCGTGGTGCCATGCTACTTATCGACCCACACCTTAAGAGTTTATGAATCATGTTGCTATGAATGACGAATAGTAACGTGTAAACTGGTAGATTCCTTTACGAAAATCTGAGAGCGACAACGCTACGCAAAAATATAAAACAATGGAAACATGATATAACCAACCAAAATAGTATGTTGATGGTATCGATAGGAATATAATTGTATAATTGTTGAGTTATGCTATGTTCTCATTGCACTTTCAATCAAGTTTTTCGCTCTCAGAATTAGGTACACGAATTAACCCGTTCATATGGCACGATTCGTAATTCATAGTAAAATAATTCATTTTTTCAAAAATTTTGTTTGTTGATTTTAATGGGAATTTATACGAAAATACATGAAATTCTCACTAATATGAATAGAAGAAATTATTGTTTTTCTCCCAAAGATTTATTATATCATTAACTTTACAATTTTCATTCATGTTTTCAACTTTTTGTGTAAA